TAATTTCACTTGAGTCCTGTAATTTAGGTGAATTTTTAGTTTGGTCCTCACATTTATGTTCGAGGTTCCAAAATGATTATTCGATTCAATAATCAATTAAAATTGATTAGGGTTAATAGATCCTTCATTTTTAGGTTTAACCCTTTAGTTCCTTTAAAAAAACATAATTTGACACTTTAGTTAGAGAAAATCCTTAATTTCACCTAGTATAATTAGGTTCAATAATTGGTCGATTGATTGTATATTTTGATTTCAAAACAAGGTAATGTTCATTTATTATAGGTTAATAGTTTATTATTATTTTTTTGCATTATGTCTGGAATGATCATTGTTGATTTCTGAAGTAAATCAACATCATTTTCAAAACCCTACATCATAATTTTAAAATTATTAAGGCAATGTTTATTTATTGAGATAATGACGAACCTTCTGCTTGTGCTCGAGGTATTCATTATTGGTCCTAATAAATAGATACCTTTTTAAAATTTGCATACGTACTAAATTTTAAATTAAATAAAATTTTGAACTCGAAATTTCCAATTTAAAACATAGGGTAATCGACTAAGTACCAATTTTTTGGCGTTATGGAAGTGTTAATCCTTCCCCACGTATAACTGACTCTCGAACATGTTTTCTGATTCCGCAGACCAAAACACTGGTATTTTTTATAAAATAAAAGGTTTTATTAAATTATTTGATTTTAGGTGTTATAATCTCACCTTAAAAATAATTGGTGGCAACTCTCTTCATTTCATTTCAAAACTCATTTTCGAAAATCATCATAATTAGATGAGTCGGTTTTCTTCCATCCGAAAAAGGTCGATAGCAACGAATGGAACCTCACAACGAGTTTCATGCGACGCAAAATCTACCCAAATGGGTAAGTGTCACGCACAAGGATGGATCTAAAGAGGACGATCGAGCCCCCATTAAAAATTTCAAATTCATATATATATTAAATTTTATTTTATATTTTTTATTGAAAAATTATTTTCGCTCTCTAAAATTTTATAAATTTTTTCTTATTTAAAATTTTATAAGTTAATCTCTTTAACGTAAAATTTTGCTTACAATATCTAGTCTCGCACCTTAATCAAATCAATAGAATATGCATCCTGCAAAAATGCAGCCAAATAACTGTAAGGAAGGGGTTATACTGAAGTAGGAAGAGTGTACGACAAGCATAAGTGGGACCAAATAAACCAATAACTACATATAATCGCTCATTATTAAGGTTAAACCAATGGGTGGCTATGGTAGTTTTTGAAAATTTTAAATTATTATATATTTTTATATTTTTTAATAATTTACTTTTGTTCTTAGAATTTTAGGTAAATTACATTTTAGTACATTAACTATTATTTTTATTTTATTTTTATCATCCAATTATTTTTATTTAAATTCATACTTAACATTTAGTTTTGATTTTATTTTGGTCAATCGTCGTTAAAAATTAACGGTGATGCTAACGTGTTATCATAAGTAATGTCATATCATTATTGATTTTTTTTAAATGTCACAACAATAATTTTGTTGATTTTTTAATGTTAGATGATCAAAATAAAATCAAAACGTAACATGATGTATGATTTTAAAAAAATAATAGGCTTAAGGGTCACCTTTGACCTTATAGTAGACTCAGTTTATCACTTTTGCCCCTATCGTATTTTTACATCAATTTAACCCTCAAAGTTGTTTAATTGCATCATTTTATATCCTACAACTTAAAACCCTAAATTATAAATATTGAGTTAGGGTTTATAGTTTAGAGGTTATGGGGTTTTGATTTACAGTTTATAATTTAAGGTTTTAGGTTGGGGTAAGACATAAAATGATGTAATTGAGTCACATAGAGGGCTAAATTGATGCAAAAATATGATAGCGGCGAAGTGATAAATTGAGTCTACTACAAGGACAAAAATTAATCTTTTGCCAAAATAATAGTTAAGTAACTAAAACGAAATAAAAAAAATAATTGAAATACTAAATATATAACTTACCTTAAAAATTTATAAATTTATCTCTCGAATGCGTCCCTAATAAAGATAGAATAAATTAAGAAAGAGTGGCATCTTGACAATACCATAACGGCCGCCAAATGTCATTTTTGTTATATCTCCAAGCTTCTGCAGTTTCCAAGAAAAATAACTTGGTTTCCATCCGTACAGACAACAAACCATTAAGGAATTCAGATAAAGACTAAAAAAAAAGGAAAACTAAAAGGTATCTCTAGAAAAAACGATAATTTTCATTTATGTTCTCAGTAGAAGTCTAGCTGAATTAACCACGTTGCAGGGCAACAAACATGCCAGTTTTGGACATAAATAATCAGAATACTTAAAGGCCACCAGGGTTGCTAGGATTATATATGTTTCATTGGGACATTCATACTCTTCTCATTCAACCATCACCGATAATTTTTAGATGATGCGTAAATTATTTTTATAAAAGATTCTTCAGTTCCATCACTACTCAGACTCGTTTGCTTTTGTTTGTTTATGTATATTTTTGGATGATGTGTTGAAACTTTAGAGTTGATTACAAATTGGGATTTTTGCCATATTCCAATACCCTCTAGGCCAAAAAAAACACTGCTTTGAAAGGTAAGTAATTGTTTCTTATTACCAAACCCAACTTGATCCAGCTACGCATTTCCCACATTTTGACAAGGAAGAGTTGTAGAAGGATGCAATCTCTGGAAAAACCAAAGCTTATAGTTTTGTTCTTTTTTCAAACCATGTATATAAATAAATACATTGATTATTGTCTTAATCACATATACATAAATGTATACACAGCTGATACGTCCATATATGGACATCTTTATGTTAAAATCGGATGCCAAACATTGGTAGCTTAGCGCATTAGTTGCTGTGAATGCATTTTTGCTCTTTTCTTTGTTGTTCTCTAGTGTTTTGTTTCTTCTGCTCTCTTACCATTTAGCTTTTATCCTGTATATGGATCCATGCTATCTAGTAAGCAGTGATGGATCAAATGAGGTAGTTGGGGCACTCTCCCTGAAAATTTTAAATTCGTATACATTTAATATATTTTATTTATACTTTTAATCGATAATTTATTTATATTTCTTAAAATTTTATAAGTTCATTTTCTGTTAAAATTTTCAAAGTTCGTATTCCTTTTATCTAATCTTGTGTTTGTACCTGCTAAAGTTGACAAGGATGTTGTACATTTTAGGAATTTAAAAGATGTATAAAACATTTCTAAATTTATATAAATATTTAAATTTAATAATATTTTTTGTAATTTAGTGTTATACAAAATCTTATCAATTTACATAATTTCTTATAATTTTAATAACATTTTGTGTGATACTCAAATGGATATTATTCAAATAATAGTACTTAATATAATTTAATAATATTTCATATAATTTTCTCTAAAATTTGTCTTATTTAAGTTTCTACATGCGATTCGTATTAAGAATGTCAAAGTATGAATATTTAATAACAAATTATTTAGAATTATCTTTAAACAAATAATACATTATATTTATCTCATATTAATAAAAAAATTACATACATCAAAATATTTCACTCTTAAAAGAAAAAAAAATCCTTTTTTTTTTAAAAAAAAAAGAGTGTTTATATATAAGTATATGAAAGTGAGCGATCACCTATCAAAGATACTTTACGTACCATACCTTTTTTTTTTAACTTGAGAATAAAAACAAAATTATTTTCCCTTTAGAAAACTAAAATGTGCATTATCGTGTACAGAAAATCTACGTTCAACACGCCATGAAATTCCTTAGAATGCTTACATACACAACAGTTGACCTTGTAGTCAGCGTGCCATTTTTTTTAATAAAAAATTGTTTAGATTTAAATTTTAGGTTTGATTTCAATCAAAACCTATAACAATGTAGATCATTATATTAGTTAATAATTTGTTGTATTCATTTATATATATATATATATATATATATATATATATATATATATATATATATATATTCATGTAAATTCACTTATATTAATGTAAAATTAATATATTACACATTTCATAATTCATTATACAATTAATATTTTAATTATTTGGTTATTGAATTTATCAATATAAATCTACTGAACCCATTAAGTGGTATCAATGATTAAAAGAAATATTGTTCTCCTTAAATGTCTTGAGTTCGAGTAGCCACGTCTATAAAATGTGTAATGTAAATAGTTAAGAAAGATTCTGAAAAAATATTACCTTATAATCGACTCATAATATTCGAAAAAATCAATGTAATTATATTTGTTAACACAAAATATTTCAAATCAATATGATATTTTTGTTATATCAATTAAAGATATAATCTTTATGGGTATATTTAACGATTAAAAGTGGCTCATATAAAATAGAGTAATATTTATTTTTAATTTATTAATCAAAATTGATATTCTACATAAATAAATTATAATAATCGTATTATTAAAATATTAATTGAATAAAAATTATAAAACTACAGAAAATCACATTAATTTTATAGAAATATAAATGGATTCTTCACCGTATAAAATATCATAGCGTAATTTTTTTTATGCTACTTTATTTTTAATATTTCTCGTATAACAAATTTTAAGAAAAAAATAATCTGACAATAAATTAAAATCTTAAAGTATATATATACATTTGCATTATTCTTGATATATTACTTGTTTTACACTTAAAAACGGGTCATCCTATTAATATGGTCACTTTCTTATTTATGAAGTTTATCTGGTGACCATTATTTTAGTTGAATTTTGATCAGAGATGAGTAGTAAATAATTAAGTTAACATCAAAGCATTGAATCAATTGACAAAACATTAAGCAAGAATGAATTATTATCAAGGTGAATGAGTGACAATTCAACGTTTTCTCCTTCCATTATGTTTCTTTTTTTATTTGTAAATTATTTTGTAATACAAACTCTGAAAATTTAATATATAAGAAATCTTGTATAAATACCACCTTCTTCTTCCTTTCATTTCCAGACTGCTACTTTCACATTTTAGAAGCCACTTGGATTTCTGGGATTTTTCTGTGCGTTCTAAATTCTCTTTCTTTTCTTGCTTTTCTGCATTTATTTTTCTTTGATGTTCTGCCATTGAAATATCTTGTTATATGCCATAGCAGCCAAGAAACCATATTGTTTTTTAATCTCTTCGTCATTGAAAAACTAAACTTTCTTTTCTTCTTTCTTTTTCCGATTTAATGTGTATTGTTTTTCATTGCGTATTTGATATGGTGCTCTTCTTTCTTGGCAACATAGCTATATTAACCGTATTCATCCTTGAATCTCAAGGCAATTGGAAGAACATCGAAGATGGCAGGAACAAGAATGACCATCTATTTTATGGGACTACTGCTTTGGTGTTGCTTGACAAAGGCAGAATACATGAAATACAAAGATCCAAAACAGCCGGTTCGTGTTCGAGTAAAGGACCTGTTGGATCGAATGACGTTAGACGAAAAAATCGGACAAATGGTTCAGATCGAACGCAGCGTCGCTTCGGCCGAGGTGATGAAGAAGTATTTCATTGGTGAGCATCATCTGTCAACTCTCCTTTGACATCCTTTAGAGACAACATAATTGTGCATATTAACGTAAACAAAGAGTTCTATTTTTTTGGTTGTTGCAGGGAGTGTGTTAAGTGGAGGAGGGAGCGTCCCAGCTCCACAAGCTTCAGCAGAGGATTGGATAAACATGATCAATGAGTTTCAGAATGGCAGTTTATCGACCCGATTGCATATTCCGATGATTTACGGGATCGATTCTGTTCACGGTAACAACAATGTATACAAGGCAACAATTTTTCCTCACAACATTGGTCTAGGTGCTACCAGGCATGTTGCTGCACTTTAATCACATTGCAATGCTACTGTATTACTGCATTTTTCCTAAGTTTCTAGATGCTACGTCGTCTGGACTCGGAATGAGTGTTGGATATGTTGATGCATCAGGGACCCTGAACTGGTTAAGAAAATTGGGACTGCAACAGCACTTGAAACTAGGGCAACCGGCATTCCTTATGCTTTCGCACCTTGTGTAGCGGTAGCTTTCGTTTTACCTTTTCCTAGATGCTATGTCGCCCAGACTCGGAATGATTGATCTTCGCATAGGTCCACTGACTGTTCTCTATAAAACAGGTTTGCCGAGATCCGAGATGGGGTCGATGTTATGAAAGTTACAGTGAAGATCCCCAGATTGTTCAAGCAATGACAGAGATGGTACCAGGATTACAAGGAGACATCCCTGCTAACTCTCCTAAAGGCATTCCGTTTGTTGCTGGAAAGTGAGCACTTTAATAGTTTACTAAATATAACACGAGTTCATCCGTATGACTTCCATCAAATGTTATGCAGAATCCTGAAAGATCGATCGAACATTATATTAATGATTCTTCAATTTCCAGTAAAAATGTTGCAGCTTGTGCTAAGCACTATGTAGGTGATGGTGGAACAACCGATGGCATAAATGAGAACAACACGGTGATCAACTGGCATGGTCTGCTTAGCATTCATATGCCAGGTTACTACACTGCTATTGCCAAAGGTGTTTCGACGATCATGGTCTCGTATTCCAGTTGGAACGGAGTTAAAATGCATGCTAATCGTAACTTAGTCACCGGTTTCCTCAAGAGCACGCTTCGATTCAGAGTAATTTTCCTATGTCACTAGCATAAACATACAAAAGAACCTGAGAAAACATAACACAGATTTTACTCGCTGCTGCAGGGGTTTGTCATCTCGGATTGGCAAGGCATCGACCGGATCACTTCTCCACCTCATGCTAACTATACCTACTCAATTCAAGCCGGAATCCAAGCCGGCATAGACATGGTTAGAGCATATATTTGATGTTGAATTTCATGCGATTGATCTTCTTACTGTGTTGTCATCTCTGCAGGTAATGGTACCATACAACTATACTGAATTCATCGACGGGCTAACCTCCCTCGTGAAAAACAAAATCATCCCCATAGGCCGCATCGACGATGCAGTGAAGAGAATTTTGAGAGTTAAATTTGCTATGGGTCTATTTGAGTACCCTCTAGCAGATTACAGCTTGGTTGACCAACTTGGTAGTCAGGTTAGTTTATCAGCTCGGTTTAGGCCAAGTAATTAAAACCCGGCATGACACGAACACAACACGAAAACATGAATGTATCGAAATTTACATCATAAGAATCATTAACAATACCTTAAACAGAAACATAGAGAGTTGGCTAGAGAAGCAGTGAGAAGATCACTTGTTTTGCTGAAGAATGGGAAATCAGCAGATAATCCATTGCTACCCTTGCCTAAGAAGGCATCAAAAATACTTGTTGCTGGAAATCATGCAGACAATCTGGGTTATCAGTGTGGTGGATGGACTATTGAGTGGCAAGGTTCAAGTGGCAACAACCTTACACTTGGTAAACAAACAATTCATCCTCTGTGTTTTCAACAACATTGTTCCGAGTCTCGACATATATCCGAATGCCAGTATAAGGATATGTCGAAGCATACCGATACACTCACTCCCGAGAATGATTAGCATAGGTTTTCAGCATCTCTCATTTTCCAATATGCAAATAGCCATTAAGACTGCTATTATGATCACAGGTACAACAATCCTAGAAGCCATCAACAGCACAGTTGATTCGAGCACAAATGTTGTGTACTCGGAGAATCCCGATGCTGAATTTATCAAGTCCAACTACTTCGACTATGCGATCGTCATAGTAGGGGAGTATCCATATGCTGAAACAAATGGTGACAGCATGAATCTAACGATTCCAGACCCCGGTCCGACCACAATCACAAATGTATGTGGAGCTTGGAAATGCATTGTTATTGTAATATCCGGCCGACCCGTCGTGATAGAACCATATGTCGACTCCATGGATGCTCTAGTTGCGGCATGGTTACCGGGAACCGAGGGTCAAGGTGTGGCTGATGTTGTGTTTGGTGACTATGGTTTTTCAGGCAAGCTACCTCGTACTTGGTTTAAAACAGTTGATCAACTGCCTATGAATGTTGGGGATCCACATTATGATCCACTCTTCCCCTTTGGGTTTGGCCTCACCACTGACCCTACCAAAATTACTTTGTAAACTATATTTTATTTTCCTAGAAAATTTCTAGTTTTCATGTTGTTTTGAAGCCATTGTCAATTAGATTTTACAAAAAAAAAAAAAAAACAACAACAACAACAACAAAATTATATAGAAATTAAACGTCTTCTCAATATTGTACTTTTTTTTATAAATGAACGGACAATCAACGTCTTATTAATATTGTAATTTTTTTATAAAAGTGGATAGTTTTATTAAAAATAAAAAATATATTTAAAATTATAATGAAAGGTTAAATCATAATCGTGAATTAAATATGTCATTGAAATATTTTTATAACAATTAACACAAAAAATGTTACATAATCCTAGACGAAAAATAAAAAAATTAGAATTTTATTATTAGAGGAGAAGAATTATAGTTGAGAGTGCATAACCCGAATAATAAGCTGGTACGAGTTGAGGCCTATAACTACGAAGTTTCTTAAGACAAATTTTTTGCCACTCTTTGGTGCTCGAGATGTCTTGCGCAAGATCACAAACTTTTTCTTGCTAGAGAATATTACTGAAAACAGAGAAAAAGAAAAGATTTTAAGGAAAATATTTAATTTGTATTGGGTAAATATTCACAAGTCTCGACCGATTTGAACATTCGCATCGCTAACGTCGTGCGAATGCGCCCCTAACCCCAATAGGTTCAGGAGACTTGGATTTACACCCTCTTATGCCTATGTATGAGGCACATTTTCAACACAAGTTATTCAATGATTAACAAGTGGGTTTGTGTATATAAATCATTTCCTTGCTTGATATCCCACCAAGGTGGGATATGAGTTTTCTCATTTTCCTTACAAAACACAATTTACATGTACCTTACTTTGAGCATCAATTTCTCATTTATCACTCAATCGTTTTGAGCATATGAGATATTGTTGTAAAGATATCATGAAATAGAATATGAAATAGTAAATTCATTATTCGATTCTCCATCTTTACACTTAGAAAATATGCCTCAAAGTTCTCAATTTATCACATTTTTCCAACAAACCCCCACATGAATGAAATTGATGATTTTATCAAAATATTTTTACTTGATGTGGTGATAGACCCTATGAACGATAGTTGCATAGGATAAGTAGGTGTCCTTCTTTGAACCTTCCCGTGTCACAATATATTTACTTTATTGGCTAATCAATAGACATGATGTCATTGAACTGTTTTGTCGCTTGTGTAAACGATGACAATATATTTACTTTACTAGCTAATAAATAGACATGATGTCCTTGAATTGTTTTGTCGCTTGTGTAAACGATGATATACTTCACACAATTGTCTTTATGTCAAGTATATTAGTTCTCAGGGGTATGTCCATATAGCCACGAGCATTGTCTGGTTTTGCAAGAATTTGAAAGAACTATCCCCTATAGTCTCCTTAGCGGCCCCACTTCACTCTCACATAGGTGACTTATTCATCGAAGCACACAATGGTCATTAAAAGCTTTGTTTAGCCTATATCCATTTGATCACTGTTTACATCATAATAATAGACTTGGGATAAGAAAAAAAACCATAGTGACCGCACACGGTTTATGCAATTAGGTTTACCCTTTGAACCTAGATCTAGGGGTCTCCTATCAACAAGGTAGGGTTTTCCTTCACATAACACCTTTAATTTTCATGGGCTTTAGTCTCATTCCTTTAGATGTTATCTCAACTTGATCTCGATTTAACCTTTTGGTTAGTGAATCTGCGATGTTATCCTTTGGTCTTAAAAAATCAATAGAGATAACTTCATTTGAGATCAGTTGCCTAATAGTATTGTGTCGATGACACATATGTCTCGATTTACCGTTATACATGAAATTTTGTGTTGTAGCAATTGTTGCTTGGTTGTCACAATATATGCATACTGTGGGAACATGTTTTGGTCATTCAAGTATATCCTCAAGAAAATATCGAAGCCATTTTACTTCTTCTCCAGACTTATTTAGAGCTACAAACTCATATTCCATTGTGGATCTAGTTATTACAGTTTATCTTGAGAATTTCCATGACACAGCTCCCCCTCCCAAAGTGAATACATATCCACTTGTACATTGGGTGTCTTGAATATCCAATACCCAACTAGCATCGAAGTATCCTTCTAGGACGGCAGGATATTTGGAATAATGCAAACCATAGGATCAAGTATATCTGAGATATCTTAATATCCTCGTTATCGCTTTGCAGTGGTCTTTTCCTGGATTGCTTGTAAACCTGCTTAAATTGCTCACAGTAAAAGTGATGTCCAGTCTACTGCAGCTCATAAGATACATGTAACACCCTAAATCGATTCGACACACATTCGACCAATTAGAACGTCATACAGGACCATCGGAGCGACAACCCAAATTTTTTTTCTTTTAAAACGCCCTTAAAATAATATTTGACAACTATAAAATACCATGGAATTAAACAAAATACATATAAGTTTACAGTACTGAGAAGCTCCCAAAATAAGTGTATCAAATAGTACATGTGATTATTTAAAATAAGTTACAACTTAAGTACAATAAGGTCTATGAATAATGCATGCCCTCTAATAAAACATACTCAAGAAGTATTGTAATTGCTCGACTGACTAGAACGTCTATAATATGACCAGTTCCTCAAAAGCTCCACCTAAAGACCTGCGAATAGAAACACAATTTCGAACGCTGAGCTCACTAGCCCAGTGCCACTCTAACAACAATGACATACTAAAAGTGTTCACAAATGCTCATGCTAACGTATGAAATAACTAGAGTGAGTATGTCTGCATTCTCATGCTATTCTAGGGTAGACATCATGACATGGCTGAGGGATTACTACATCTCGGAGCTCACGTATCCCTTTAGTCTACATGGGGTGAAGATCTTGCATTCACTACATCGGATACAACACTCAACTAACCCACTCCTTGCGAGTGTTGAGGCCTTGTGCCATAGTTAATCTTAAGTTTCTTGTGCACTATCTAAGGATATTCGGACAATCTATAATTCTTGACTATCATCAACTTTTAAAGTAACTCGGGTGTCCTTGTTGTTTTCCCGAACATCAAACAAGGCTAGTATTATGTCATCCTAATTAGTATTGTTTCTAGTTGTACTTTGATCATAATTACCGGATTTATTCGATAATAATACCCCTCCGATCAGTTGGAGATGATATGCTCGAGATGCAAAAATAACCTTTGCCTCAGTAGACTCGTCCGTCACTTGGAATTCTGATTCCAACCATGTTATCCTTACCCGAAAGCTGTCGATGACGTCGGATGGTGGCCATTTTCCCAAAACTTGGTAGACCAACGATGTGGGGTCGTATATGTTCTGACTCACCACGGGGGCTTCATTCACAAGAACACTGAGTTGGTAAGCGACATCTTCCAAAGTAATCATCGTTTCACCACTCGAGAAGTGAAATGTGTGTCTCGGGCTGCTAACATTTGACAAGAGCCTCAATCAATGTCGAGTACAGCTTGAAACCACGCACAAATATGGCCGAAAATAGACTGGGTTGCTGCAGATATATCACAGTCCGTTGATGCGGCTCTCTGTATGTCATCACGCGCTTACGAATATTCCATTCATTAATCGTTCGACGTACGATCGACGAAATATAGACGTTATCCAAGTGCAACATATATTCTCGGATTGCGATTTTTTGAGATTTTAATAGAAAATATGTTTTTTGTAAATTTTTTAGATTCAGGGTTTGATAAAAAACTAAAACTCCAAACCCTTATTTATAGCCTTACATCTAACGGCTATAAACGACTAGTTGGGAAAAATACATGGCCGAACTCGTCACCTCGAATTAACTGTTGGTCATGATTGTTGCCTATATAGCTATTGACCGACGACTACATTTTTTTAATTTGAAAGAACTCGTCACGTCGATGTGACGAGTTCCACGCATTTTTTTAATTTATACTTTTTATTTTATTTTATTTTTGTAATTTTAAAAATTAGTTTTAAATGGGCTCGTCGCGCCGAGGTGACGAGTCATTTTAATGATAATAAAATAATGGCCTACGTGAGACCCACTTCACGGGGAAAATTTAAAAATAATATCTTCAGGAACTCGTCACCTCGAGATAACGAGTTCGGTGTTCACTATAGATAATGTCATAGTTTTTAAAATAAAATCTATGTTGGCCCAATACCCTAAATAATTAATCTTCTTGGGGTATTGAAAAAAAAAACCATAAATGCGTTGATTTAAGCCATTAGGTCCATGAGGATGAGTATTTTAAACGCAAAATATTTTTTTATTTATGAAATAAAATTAATTTATCACGATTTTATAAGAAATTATAAAATGATTATTATTTTGGATTATTTGAGTGATGGTGATCAAAATTAAACAAAAATTTATGTACAACAATTTGGTAAAAATAAGGTAAAGATTTAGCCTTTAAGGAATAAAACATCCCAAAAACATTTTTAGAAGATAACTCGATTCTAAATATATAATTTAAGAGATAATAATACATTTAAACCTTATTTTATTTGATAACATGAGATAAAAATCATAATTTAACTTTTTTATTATTTATATGGTTAAAAGTATTGATTTTTATATAAAAATGTCCAAACAAAATAATTTTAAAAAGTTGACCCGTACAAATTAAAATAGGATCAGTTTATTAATATTTTAAAACATTAATCAATTATTTGTGCAGTAAACATGTGTGGAGCCACCGCCAGATCCGCCACTTTAACGATTGTGTTGTGAAATCAACAGGCCCAACAAAGTATATATAATTTATTTATTTCGTTATTATTTACTGTTCGAGTAAATTGTGAAATTATAGTTAAAAAATTATTCATTAAATGGTAAAAAAGGATGCATCTCATATTCATGGAAAATAAATTTCATATACAAGATAAAAATGAAAAAAGTAATGATTATGACATATTTATATTATTCATTTAATACACATCATATTCTTAATTTATGACTCTCGACACAAATTACACACAAAAATCAAAGATAGCATGCGCGGGCTAATGATCACATTTAAAGAAAACTAAAAGAAAAAGAAATTAACCATAGAAAACAAATAATTTATTATGTCACTAAGAAACAAATCACATCAATTACACGTTAAAACTACAACAGCAGCAAAAGTATGCATACATTCATTAATACTCACAAGCAATAGAAAAAGGTTAAAAATCATATATATATATATATATATAAATATTATAGGTAGCTGATCAAACACCGGCGTTCTAAAAAAGAAGTCCAAATGCAAGAGCAATAAGGGAGGCAAACACCGCCGGTACGAAGGTGGTGGAATCCGAGGTCGGGCTCGGGGCCGGAGCATCGGCTGCTGCGACATTTTGGACCGTAAACATGGCCACCAAAACAATCATGACAGCCCAAAATGAACTCATCATCAATGCCTCCATTGTTGAAATTAACTTTGCAGAGAAAGTGAAGACAAAGAAAGGAGAGAGAAAATGTTTCCTTTAACAAATGGAGAATAAGCAAGCTGGGAGTGCATAAAATGTGATTTTATAAAAGTAACCGGGGGGGGGGGGCAAGAAAATTTTAGAGGGGCTACGGGCAGCCTGCCCGAGGTAACCGTTGCTTCAATCATAAGCATATGTAGATCTACAAATGATTTTACAAAAAATATTAAAAGTTTATACAATACAATATTTATTTTTAATATATATATAAATAATATATTTTAAGTGTAATTATGATAAAAAAAATATAATACAATTCGAATACACTTGATTTTTTTTTGGGGGGTGCCCGTTGGATGGGACAGTGTGGCTGTCCTTAACCTTTAGGTGTCATTACAGCTGTCGTCAACGGTTTTTTTGTGGCCTTACTTTTGAGGGTCCCCTGCCCTAACGATCTTTTTCTCTGGGCAGGGAAAGCGGGCTGCTAAACTTTATAAAATCCCTTTTTATTTTACAAAATTCTGGAGTAATATTTAAAGGCTATTCTATTCACCAAAAAAAATTTATTTTAAGCCTAATTGAATTGATGTACTCTATTTTCTGTGTTCCTTTTTAATGGCAGTTTTGGTATTTGAGTTGAATAATTAATAAAAAAAGTTATCTTATGGCCTTTGTGCCTGAAATTGATAGAAGATACTTTTAGTAATTGTTTCTGCTTAATTTGGAGTAAGTACACGGTAATATTCGTTCAAAGATAACTTTCAATCATGTGATATTGAACACTCAAATCCTTGATATTTCTGATGTTAGAACATGATACCTCAATAAATAACAATAATTCATTTACCATTAAGATCACTTGTTCGTACATTTCTAACATTTTTTTTGCTATGTCGCATTTTGATTTGCTATATTATTTCTATAATAGATTTTAAAACAAATATATTTAATAAAATTGCAGTAATGTAAAAATTATAAACATATAATTTTAATGAATTCAATAATATTCAATTAAGTGTATATACACTATGTAAAAATTAGAACCTCAAGGTTACAATCTAGATTTCAACCTCACAAGTGTAGATTTTTTAAAAGAATAAGACAAGTTGGTTCACGAGCAATTGTTTATAGCCATGCATCACACCAAATTTAGATGGGAGATAAAGCATGCATTTGTGGCACTTATATTTGATGTATCTTCTGATTTTAATTTATCTGCTTATATATTACTCATAATTGTAATTGTAACTTAAAAAAAACCTACAAATGATTTATAAATAAGATACACAGGGACACATATAACCCTTTACAATAATCAATATTGTACTATTAATAGGTGTACTGGATTTCCTTGACGACGATACTCCCTCGATCCACAACCTACTGTCCTGAAAATGATAAATAATTAAGGGTAAATTATATAAATGGTATTTTCGTTTGAGTTTTATAAATTTATAGTTTATAGATTCAAAAAAACATAATATACAATCACTTTTGTTCTGTTTTAATTAAGATAAAGTCATTGAGACGTTAGTGGACGTGAGTTGGATGACATGACATGTTAGTAAAAAGATTTAAATTTTATTTAAACACTTAAACTTTAGATAGATTACTAATAATGAGTCTTTTTCTAAATCCAAAATAGTTCAAGGATAAAATATCAATTTAATCTTTTTTTCATATGTTTTCTTCTCCCGAACCTCTCTTCTCGGTTGCTTCCCCAACTTCATCTCTAAGCCATAGCTTCATCTTCGTACGTCGGTGACCTTTAACTCTCCGACCACCATTAATGTGGTCATTTAAACCAGAGCCTAAATCTAAACCAACCGAGCTTTCTTTTCTCATCTAACTCTCATCGTGATTTTTCTGTCAAAATAAAAGATTTCAAGTGATTGTTTTTGAAAAGGATATGTTCAGCTTTAACTTAAATACAAGCAAAGGAGAATCTGGGCGGCCAATTGCCACCTTATTTACTGAAATCTCTGAGATTTATGTCAGAGACCAAGACAAGAATGCTATAATTCATATGATGATATCTGAAAACACTCAACTGCAAAGCCTCCATATCATCTCTGTGGTTGGAATGGGCGGGATAGGGAAAACAACCCTTGCCCAACTAGCGTACAATGACCAGGAGGTGAATGTTGGTTTTTGGCAAAGTCCCACATTGGTTGTGTATAAGGAGGAGGGGAAATCCTTTTGTTATAAATAAAGCCATCCTCCTCCTTAGTTAATCATCCCACAAATATAAGCCTTCTTCTATATTAAAGGCTATTTGTATTCTTTCTCTCTTTGTAATATTTCCTCTATTAGTGAAATATTTTGGTGTTCTCTTTTATATCTATTTAATAGTTATTGTCGGGTATAGTTATTGTTAATTATCGTCCTATTAAAATTACTTGTCTTGGTAGTTCTGTCTAAGGAAAGTGGGTTTTAAGAGGGACCATTGTGACCCCTCCTTTTTCCTGGAAATATACCTTGGGGTGATTTTTAGTATAATCGTTTTCACACTAGTCACCTAGATAATAGTTTCGAAGGTGAATCTGTTATTGGTGGAAATTAACCCGAATTCCACAACAATTTGTATCAGAGCTCTTGGTTTATTTTAGTATGCTCTATGTTTGCGGCTTAGGCTGATCTTCCACATCAGAAAAAATTTCCTTGGGATAATTGACATTCCGCATTGACAGCTATTAAATAGAATTTGTAGCAGAAATGGCAGACGCTTCTTCATCTTCAATTTTGGCAAGAAATGCTGTGACAAATGTTAGATTTGCAGTGGAGATTTTTGATGGCACCGGTCATTTCGGCATGTGGAAAAGTGAGGTTCTAGATGACCTATTTCAGCAGGGTCTAGACATTGCTATTGAATGAGAGAAACCAAATGATGTTGAGGAGAAAGAATGGAAGAGGATCAATAGAATGGCATGTGGTACTATTCGATCGTGTCTTTCTAGAGAGCAGAAGTATGCATTTTCTAAGGAAACTTCTGCAAGTAAATTGTGGAAGGCACTGGAGGAGAAATTTTTGAAGAAAATCGGTCAGAACAAACTCTACATGAGAAAAAGATTGTTCCGCTTCAACTATGTACCAGGTACCACTATGCATGATCACATTACTAGCTTTAATCAGCTGGTGACTGATCTGATGAATATGGATGTGACTTTTAAAGACGAAGATCTGGCTCTGATGTTGATGGGATCACTTCCTGATGAGTTTGAGTATCTTGAAACTACTCTACTTCATGGGAAGGTTGATGTGTCTCTCAGTGAAGTAACTGCTGCCTTGTATAGGTATGAATTGAGAAAGAAAGACAAACAAGAAAACACAAGTGTCGAAGCATAAGCTCTTGTTGTTAGAGGTCGTTCGAAGAGTCAGAATAAAGGAAGCAGAGGGAGATCGAAGTCAAAGTCCAGATTGAGCAAAGATGAATGTGCCTTTGTCGAGAAAAAGGGCACTGGAAGAAAGAATGTCCCAGGCTAAAGAATAAAGGCAAACCTAAAAGGGGGAAGACTGTCTCAGAATCAAATGTGGTCGAGTATGATGATGCAGATTCAGATTTCACATTCGCTGCTACGCCATCAACCAGTTGTTCCAGTTCATGGTTGTTAGATTCAGCTTGTAGCCACCATATGACCCCCAATAGAGAATGGTTCTTTGATTTTAAAGAACTAAAAGGTAGAATTATCTACACAGCAAATAATTCCCCCCTTGACACACTTGAGATTGGTTCAATTCGCTTGAGGAATTATGATGGATCAATCAGAACCTTAACAGGTGTCCATTATGTACCAGATTTAATGAGAAATCTCATCTCTGTGGGAACCTTAGAGTCAAAAGGTTTAGAAGTGAGGGCAAAAGATGGGATTATGAGGATTATCTCTGGTGCACTGGTGATAATGAAGGGAATCCGAAAAAGAAACAATGTGTATTACTTTCTGGGTAGTACAATTGTTGGGACAGCAGCAGTGGCAGCTTCTACTGATGAACATGAGTCAGAAGCAACCAGGTTATGGCATATGCGCTTGGGGCATGTTGGTGAAAAATCCTTGAAATTACTCATAGATCAAGGATTATTGAAGGGTGCTCGGACTTGCAAATTAGCTTTTTGTGAGCATTGCATCAAAGGGAAGAAGACGAGGGTGAAATTTGGAACAACAATCCATGATACTAAAGGTATTTTGGATTGTGTTCATTCAGATGTATGGGGGCCTTCCAAGACAACTTCATTGGGAGGAACACACTATTATGTCACCTTTGTTGATGATTTTTCCCGGAGAGTTTGGGTGTATCCAATGAAGACAAAGGATGAGGTGCTAGGATTTTTCCTTAAATGGAAAAAGATGATGGAGACTCAAACATGCAGAAAAATCAAACGTCTCCGTACAGACAATGGTGGAGAGTACAAAAATGATCCATTTCTGAAAGTCTGTGAAGAGGAAGGTATTGTCAGGCACTTCACTATCAGAGGTACACCACAACAGAATGGGGTGGCAGAGCGTATGAACCGGACATTAGTGGAGAAGGTTCGGTGTACGTTGTCAAATGCTGGGTTAGGCAAAGAATTTTGGGTTGAGGCTTTGGTATATGCTTGTCACCTTGTCAACCGCTTACCATCGACTGCTATTGGTGGTAAAACACCATTAGAGAAATGGTTTGGATTACCTGCTATAGATTATGATTCCTTACATGTGTTTGGTTCCACTGCATACTACCATGTTAAGGAGTCAAAGCAGGATCCAAGAGCAAAGAAGGCGATCTTTATGGGGATCACCTCTGGTATGAAAGGCTATCGTCTTTGGTGTCCAGAAACTAAGAAAATAATCTTCAGCAGTGATGTTACCTTTGATGAATCTACCATATTGAGAAAGGTGACTTCAGAAAAATTAGACCAGACAGATGGAACTCCCAAACAGGTGGAGTTTGAAGGAAGCAAGATTGTCCCAACCAGTAAAGAAACTGATGTTGACTCCCCTATGGTAGAAGAAGAGTCAGATAAAGAAGAGGTTCAGACCCAAGAACCTCCACAACAACATGAATCAATTGCACTCAGAAAGGGAAAGAGGACCATTAGACAACCTGCTCGTTATGCTGATATGGTCTCTTTTGCATCACCAATTGCAATTGATGACGTTCCTGCCACTTTTAATGAAGTAGTTCAAAGTTCAGAACATAAAAATTGGAGGATCACCATGAATGAAGAAATGCAATCCCTTCAAAAGAATCAGACGTGGAAACTAGCTATTCTTCCGAAGGGAAAGAAGGCAATTGGGTGCAAGTGGGTATATGCAAAGAAAGATGGATTTCCTGACAAGAATAACATCCGCTACAAAGCAAGATTGGTGGCTAAAGGCTACGCTCAAACGGAGAGAGTTGATTATAATGAAGTATTTTCTCCATTTGTAAAACATTCCTCCATCAGAATTTTGTTGGCTTTGGTAGCACAGTTGGATTTGGAACTAGTTCAGATAGATGTAAAAACTGCATTTTTACATGGAGACTTGGATGAGGAAATCTACATGACTCAGCCAGATGGATTCAAAGTTACTGAAAAAAAAGAGATTGTGTGCAAATTAGAAAAATCGTTGTACGGATTGAAGCAATCTCCAAGGCAGTGGTACAAGCGATTTGACAAGTTTATGATAGGGCAGAAGTACACAAGAAGCAAATATGATCATTGTGTGTATTTACGCGAGCTAGAAGACAGATCCTATATATATATCTTCTTCTTTATGTTGATGATATGTTGATAGCTTCCAGGAGTCAGACAGAAATTGCAAAACTAAAGACTCAATTGAACAGAGAGTTTGAGATGAAAGATCTTGGTGAAGCGAAGAAGATTCTAGGCATGGAGATATCAAGGGATAAAAAATTGGGGAGGCTTTGTTTGTCTTAGAAAGAATATCTGAGGAAGGTACTAAAACGTTTTGGTATAAATGAGATGTCAAAACCAGTTAGTACACCTCTTGCTCCTCATTTCAAGCTCGGTGCATCAATGTCACCTAAGGATGATGCATAACGGGAATATATGTCAAAGGTTCTGTATGCAAGTGCTGTTGGTAGCTTGATGTATGCAATGGTGTGTACGAGACCCGATATTTCACAGGCAGTTGGGGTTGTGAGCAGGTATATGCATGATCCTGGAAAGCAGCATTGGCAAGCTGTGAAATGGATTCTGCGGTATATTCTGAACACCGTAGATGTTGGTTTGGTCTTTCAGCAGGACAAACAAGACGGTCAGTGTGTAGTTGGGTATTGTGATTCAGACTATGCAGGTGATTTGGACAAGCGTCGATCAACTACTGGTTATGTGTTTACATTTGCAAAGGCACCAGTCAGTTGGAAGTCCACCTTACAGTCAACAGTGGCTTTGTCTACTACAGAGGCAGAGTACATGGCAGTTACAGAGGCTGTGAATGAGGCAATTTGGCTTCAAGGGTTGCTTGGTAAATTGGGAATGGAACAAAAGCACATCAAAGTGCACTGTGACAGTCAGAGTGTTATTCATTTAGAAAAGAACCAGGTTTACCATGCAAGGACGAAGCACATCGATGTTCGATATCACTTTGTACGAGAGATTCTAGAAGAAGGTGAAGTCATAATCCAGAAGATTCGGACCACTGAGAATCCTGTTGATATGTTGACAAAAGTGGTAACTGCGGTCAAGTTTAAACATTGTTTAGACTTGGTCAATATTGTTACAAATTAAAAGATTGTTTTTTTAGAGATGTGTGTGGAATTTGCCAAGGTGGAGATTTGTTGGTTTTTGGCAAAGTCCCACATTGGTTGTGTATAAGGAGGAGGGGAAATTCTTTTGTTATAAATAAAGCCATCCTCCTTCTTAGTTAATCATCCCACAAATATAAGCCTTCTTCTATATTAAAGGCTATTTGTATTCTTTCTCTCTTTGTAATATTTCCTCTATTAGTGAAATATTTTGGTGTTCTCTTTTATCTCTATTTAATAGCTATTGTCGGATATAGTTGTTAATTATTGTCCTATTAAAATTACTTGTCTTGGTAGTTCTGTCTAAGGAAAGTGTGTTTTAAGAGGGACCATTGTGACCCCTCCTCTTTTCTGGGAATATACCTTGGGGTGATTTTTAGTACAATCGTTTTCACACTAGTCATCTAGATAATAGTTTCGAAGGTGAATCTGTTATTAGTAGAAATTAACCCGAATTCCACAACAGTGAAAGCATTCTTTGACAAAAGAATATGGGTTTGTGTCTCTGGTCACTTTGATGAGATTAGAGTTGCTAAAGCTATTCTTGAAGCTTTAACTGGAGTCTCCCACCTTAGCTGAATTTGAGACATCGTTACTGAAGATACATCGATCAATTCAGAGGAAGAAGGTCCTTCTCGTTTTGGATGATGAGTGGACGAAAGATTGCCCAAAGTGGGAATCACTAAAACACTCTCTCAAGTGCGGAACAAAGGGAAGCAAAGTCTTGATCACCACACAGAAGGAGAATGTTGCAAACATCATGGGGAGCACATCGATGTTCCCATTAGGCTAATTGTACGAGAAGGAATGCTGGTTGTTGTCTAATTGGGTGGCATTTTTGGAAGGACCACTGATGATTGCAAAGGTTTAGAGCAAGAATTCAAATTGCGGTCGAGGTCACGTTGCGTTTATTGCGGTCGCAGAAGTAACGGATGCTATCGCAGTCACTGCGAGTATCGTGGACGTAAATTTTTTTTAAAATTAGCACAACTTATTATAAAATATAGTAATTGTAATTATAATTATAGAAAATCACTTTTAATAATTTTTAGATTATTTTGTAAAACCTTTTTTTATCTCAAAAACCTAATTTCTTTTGTACAATAAAAATGAAAGAACAATCAAAATCCAAATCGATACCAAACAGTCTACTTTTCTATTACAAATTCAATAGCCTAAATTACAACACAAATTAAGACAAACCAAACAGTAATCCATTTAACCCAAACCCGGTTAGGGCCCGTCCATCTTCTACTTCAGTCATCCAGCAACCTATTATGCAAACAAGTGATCCCTCCAGTAACCAACTAGCACTACTGTCCTCCAGAAGCTTCTCCAAAGATGCTTCATCAGCAATTCATGCAAAAACAGAGAAAAATGAATCCTTAAGAGAGGCAATGCATTTTGCTCGTTCAAGGATGAAGCATTCATCTTTCTAAGCCTTCATCTCCCTCGAACTGAACAGTGAACAGAGAAACAGATGAAACTGACGCCTGCCGAAAGTATCAGCTCCAGCGGTGGTAGTGGTGGTGAAGGAAGTCAAGCTGGACTTGCCCGCTTTCGCTCAGCGCCAACCACCTGGTTGGAAGCTCTTCTCGAGGAAGACGAAGAGGACCCATTAACGGGGATTAACGGGAAAAACGGTCTGTTATAGCCGCGATCGACCGTTACATGTTAAATTGCGGCCGTTATCGGCCGTTATAGGTGTGATTCCATTTCACACCGTGATTTCAACTGATATCGGTAACGGGAGCCGCCGATATCGTGATATAACGGCCATTATACCGTTACACGGCCATTTTTGAATCTCTGTTTAGAGATGAGAAAGGAAAAGGTCGGTTGGTTTAGATTTAGGTTATGGTTTAACCAACCACCATTAATGGTGGTCGGAGAGTTAAAGGTCACTGACGTACGGAGATGAAGCAGTGGTTTAGAGATGAAGCATTGGAGAGAGTAATTCGAGGGGGGGGAACGTAGGAAAAAAGGGGTAAATTGATATTTCATCCCTAAACTATTTTGAGTTTACAAAAAGACTCATTATTAGTATTTATCTAAAGGTTAAGGTTTCAAATAAAAATTAAATCTTTTTATTAACGTGTCACATCATCCAACTTACGACAGCTAACATCTCTAATTAAAACGAAATGAAAGTGACCATATATTATGTTTTTTTGAATCCAGTGATTATAAGTTTATAAAACTCAAATGAAGGTGGCCATCTGTGTAGTTTACCCAATAATTAAATATTGAGCTACTCGAGTACAATAATGCACAACTATTCTATACAGTTCATACAACACGTAAACAGAGACAAGTACGTAGAAATATGTTTCAATGCATGGTAAAACAAATTACGTATAATAAATTTAGGATTATAATTATCCGTCCATGTTGAGTTCATTATTTCACATATCGAAGTTTCGTTCTCATCTTATCATACAAAGTATCTTGTGATTTATCAATTGGGCATTTGCGTATTTTGTGCGTTATATTGCCATGGCTGTTACATAAATAGATCTTAAGTATCCGAATAGTTTTTCCAAGCGTCACTCATGGTCGTTAGATAAAAAATCTTACGTGTCTAAATAGTTTTTTCAAGCGTCATTCATGACCGATAGTTAATCAATTTATAGCATTCATGGTTTCAATGGCGCTCTGGTATGTGCCACCTTATTCACCAATAATTAATACTTTGTTTGAGTTTATGAAAATTAATGAATTGATTGGCTCAAAAGAAAGAAAATAAAATGGTATTCTCCTCCGAGATTCTTGGAAAACCTAATGGTGTGCCAGAATCTGTTCCATCCGAATGGCCGCCGGATACAGCGATTCAGATCAATCAACCTCCCTCATTGGAACGATCGGGATAAGAGCCTCCCTATGAGGAAATATCGGCGGGGAAAAAGCCTAAGGAACCTTGCCGCTCCGATATCAACAATAGAGATTAACCCTAATGTTATAGAATCAGATGACTCTAACGTGGTGATGAATGATGCATATGGAGATCCTTCTTGCTTAGGGTGGAGCAACCAAGGAAAACGGAATCGATCAGGATTAGTGCAGGGACTGGAAAATCTTTATTCCGAGATATGGTTGCTGGACAGACTGGTAATCATAATCGATGGTGATGTTCAGATTGGTATGGCTGGATCAATCCCAGACATACAACTTCTCGGAGAGAGTCCATAACTCTGTTGAAGAGAAACTCGCTAAATCGGTGGTAGTTCGTTCGCTAGGAGAGAAGAAAAGCTACAATGCACTTTTACTTCGAACCCAAACGATGTGGAGACCTAATGAGGAGACGCAACTAATCAATTTGGATAATGAATATTTCCTGGTACAGTTTGCGTTAGAGAATGACTACCTGAATGTTGTGTCCGGGGTCCTTGGATGGTGTACGAAAGCTACCTAACGGTACAACCATGGTCGGGGACTTTTTCTACAGTAGACGATCATCCCCAAATAATACTTGTATGTGTAAGACTCCTTGTACTTCCTTATCGTTACTATACTAAGAGTCTGTTTAGGGCCATTGCTGGTGCCTTAGGTAAAATTATGAAGATAGACTACAATACGACCGAAGGCAAGAGGGGTCGATTTGCGAGATTAGCAATTTTAGTCGATTTGGGAAAACTATTGATTCTAGGAGTCATGATTGATGGGCATTATCAAGGGGTAGAGTATGAAGGCTTGCTGACCATTTATTATGCTTGTGCTAAATACAGTCATACAAAAGAGTCTTGTGGAGCCGCTTTGATTGATGGTACCGTAGAAAATACTAATGCCAATGAGATAATTGAGAATCCCGTAGAACCATATGGTCCTTGGATGCAAGTTCCTCCGAGGAAAAAGAAATAGACATCAAGCAAGAATATAGTGAAACACGATGAAAACGATGACTCATGAGCTAAATGTGAAGGGTGCCACTTTGGCTACTAGAAGTGCTAACGTACATCAACATTCCAATGAGGAAGTATAGTGGCAAGCCAATACAACATTTGAGAATGAATCCGAAATGGATCAAACGACATAATGTTGTATGTTACCTTTACTTATCCTTTATTTATGGTTAAAGTAATTTTTTGGAATACCCAAGGGGTGCTTGGCATTACCTTTAATCGGTTTTTCTAGTTATTATTGAAGAAGCATCATCCTAATATTATCGATATTATGGAGCCACGCGTGAGTGGAACTCAAGTTGAGAATTTTATTAAGAAGTTGGGGTTTGACTCTTCCTTTCGAGTGGAGGTTAATAGTTGTTCTAGGGGTATTTGGATCCTATGGAGGAAGAGGGTTTCTTTGGATTTTCTTGTGGCTTCGAACCAATTTATACACGGCTATTGTGTGGACAAAGGTAATATGAGAAGCTTCTTCATCACCTTTATCTATGGGAGCCCACACAGTAGTAAGCAGAGTCATCTTTGGGATCAAGTGAGAGCCTTGGAACCAGAGAACAATATGCCTTGGGTTCTTGGTGGTGACTTCAAAACGATTTGTAACACTCTTGAGAGGCAAGAGGGGTCGAGCAGAAGGTCAGGAGTTTGTCCTAAATTTTGCAACTTTCTGTTTCTTTTCAATTTGATTGATATGGGGTTCAATGGCCCACGTTTCACTTGGCAGCACGGTGATCTTATTCAGAGATTGGATAGATGTTTGTGCAATTTTTGGTGGGCTGAAATGTTTCGCTCGACTACTATTACTCACCTACCAAGAAAAATGGCTCTGACCATAGACCGATCCTGTTGTCTACTAGTGAGAGCCATACTGGTAGCATTAAAAGGCCTTTTTGGTTTGTGGATGCGTGGAATGACCGTCCGGATTTCGAATGATTTTTGAAGAACTCGTGGACCAATGATATCCCTATATTTGTGAACCTTTTGAAGCTTCAAGAGGAAAGTAGAACTTAGAATAAATAGGTGTTTGGTCATATAGGTAAACGAAGGACGTTGCTCCTAGCTTGAATTTGGGGAATTCAGATTACTCTTGAGCATAAAAACTCAGCTTTCTTACTGGATTTAGAGGAGAATCTTAAAAAATAGCTTGATATAACCCTTGAACAAGAAGAGAGGTTATGGCACCAAAAATCTAGAAGTATGGATTAAAAACGGAGGTCGTAATACACGGTTTTTCCATACTACGGCTCTTACTAGAAGAAGAAGAAATAATATTTATATGCTAAGAATGGATGATAGAGATTAGTGTGATGATCCGATCCAACATCAACGCTATGCGGTTACGTTTTTCCATAAGCTATTCATTTCGAAAATGCAACAACACACAAACAATGAATTATTGGGAGGCTTCAACCGAGTTCAATTGGAGAGGTTAACCCCTTACCCGAACAATGAATATCGAAGAGGTTCGACAAACTTTGTTCATGATGGCTCCTATGAAAGCTCCCGGAATTGATGGCTTCCAAGCGGGATTCTTCCAGAGAGATTGGAGTATTTTGGAGGAAAACATGAACCAGTTTGTTACCAATTTTTTCAATACAGGTAAACTTCATGAATGGGCTAATAAAACACTGTTGGTAGTCATTCTGAAGGTGGAGACTCCGAAGAGAATATCGCAATTTAGACCTATTAGTCTTTCCATAGTGCTGTACAAGATTATAACAAAAAAATCATGGTCAATCGACTGAAGCCATTGCTACCGGATTGGATCTCTCTCAATCAATCTAGTTTCGTTCCTGGGCGGAATATAACAGATAACATAACCCTAGCTCAAGAGGTGGTTCACTCAATGAGCATCAAGAAGGGAGCTAAGTCTTGGATAGTGATAAAGTGGATTTTAAAAAGGCCTATGAACGACTAGAGTGGGATTTCATTGAGGAAACTCTTGTTGAGGTGGGACTGCCATCAAAATTTATTGAATGGATCATGACTCGTGTTAAAATTATCTCCACCCAGGTTCTTTGAAATGGTAATGTTTCGGAAAGTTTTAAACCCTTAAGGGGCATCCGCCAAGGGGATCCTCTTTCCCCATATTTATTCCTTCTATGCATGGAACGTCTTTCCCATGCTATAGAACATCGTGTTAAGAGAGGAAGTTGAAAGCAAATTCGATTTTCAAGGAATGGGTCGGGTATATCTCATCTCTTCTTTGTGGATGACTTAATGCTCTTTGCGGAATCTTCTATGGAACAAGTGATGGTGATTCGTGGGGTCTTGGATCTATTTTGTTGTTGCTCTGGTCATTGTGTAAGTAACTCCAAGACACAAATATTCTTCTCCATGAATTGTGATGTTAATAAGAAGTCCTCGATTGGAAACATTTTTGGTTTTGAAGCAGATGAAAATATAAAGAAGTACTTGGGTGTCCCTCTTCTGCATGAAAGAGTGACTAATGCAACATACACATTGAAAATTTTTGGCTTGGGTATTAAAGACCTTGGCAATTGGAAAGAATTTGAAGTAAGTATCGATGGACTAAGAACATTCCAAAGAATATTCAACGTCAAAGAAGCTCTAGATTGTGGAAGGGGTTAAGCTGTGTTTGGGGAGATATCCGAGCCGGACTATTTTGGAATATCTGTAAAGGGAATAGAGCTGATTTTTTATTTGATAATTGGCTAGATGGAACAAAACTGCTTGTGCACTATAGATTATTTGAAACTGAGCCTCAACCAGTTCCGGTTAACTCGATGACAACGGCTTCCTACGCTTGGGATTGGCACCGTTTGCATAATTGTGTCCCTATTAATATATGCCACCGTATTGCTGCCATTTGTCCACTAAATCTGAATCTTGGCGAGGATACTTCGTCATGGTGTTGGGAGGTAAACCATAAATTCTCCGTCAAATCGGCATACAATGCCTTGGCTCATTGCGAAGTCAATAATGACTCTAATAGTTGGAAAGTGATCTGGAGACTAAATATTCCTCAAAGAATCAAAGTTTTTTTTGTGTCTCACACTCCATGGAAGGTTACTAACAAATGAAGAATGATTCCATCGACATATAGCTAAATCCAACAGGTGTGCTATTTGTAATACTGATGTGGAAGACATTAACCATTATCTCCACAGGTGCCCAATTGCACGAAATGTTTGGAGCAGATTGCTTGACGCGGATCAGATGTAGAATTTCATGAATATGCCTCATGAAGAATGGTTTCTTAAAAATGCTCAAGGCTAAGGTAATTTCCCAAATTCCTGCTTTGCACTGGAGTACATTGTTTGTGGTTGTTTGCAAGAAAATTTGGAAGAGACGATATTACATTCTACTCCAACCAAATTTTGTGGAAAAGGAAAACTTGTTGGTGCAGAGTTTTCACCTAAAACATGAAATCCTAATGAGAAATGTTAAACCTAAAGATAGAAGACTAAACTGTTCTCAAATTAAGTGGAAACAACTTGAGATGGATTGGGTGAAGGTTAATGCCGATGAAGCGATGGATCTTTCTCGATGGCTGCAGCTGAGGGTGTCAATCGGGATTCACAAGAAGAATGTATTATCGATTTCTCAAGGAGCTTATGCATATGTTCGGTCTTGTAAGTTGAACTATGGGCCCTCCATGATGTATTGAATCTTACTTGGAACATGGGGTATAAACGCATGGAGGTGGAAACCGACTGCAAATCGACAATGAGTATATTGAACATGCAATCTAAAGAAATGGAGGGGAATACGGTTGTCGCCTTGATTCATGGGATCCTGGATCGAGAGTGGGAAACAAGAATCAACCACGATCATCGCGAGGCAAATACAGTGGCGGATCAACTTGCTAAAATGGCGAAAGACTGTCCAGTCGGTGAAGTTTTCTTCCAGGTTCCTCCCTCGGAGGTGGTAGCTGTGTATGATGTTGGGAAATAACCGAGTAATTTTCCTATAACCAGATTAGTGAGAATGCGAAATAAAAGAGGAAAAATAATATCCGAAATTGATAACGGAGTTCAACCAATTTTGCTTACGTCTCCGTACTACTACAGATCTTTTACTAAAAAAATTTTTACAGGTGTTTACAAAACACTTACAACACACAAGAAAGCTCTCTAAATTCTTTAGTATTGGGAGAAAGAAATGATTTGGGATGATTTTAAATCTAAATGGGTTAGGGTATTTATAGTTGAAACTTAAGGACGAATCTTGAAAATACCCTAAAGTGCAGGGACTAAAGTGCAGTTTTCCCTTTACCATTTTTCAACAAAAAATAGCTCCTTATCAACCCCTTTTTTACTATTTTTTCGGTGCATATTCAGTGCATTTAAAGCACCGAAAATCAGCTTGACTTTTAACAATCTCCCATTTGAAGATTGATTTTAATCTGTCTTCATACCTCGATCGATGCAGTAACATTTCTGGTCTTGTTACTCTAGCATGCCAACTGAAGCTGAACATAACTTCAGCTTGTCCGTAGTCACCGTCTTTGTTAACATGTCTTCCGGATTTTGAGCTCCACTAATCTTTTCAAGTTTCAAAATCCCATCTTCCAGAAGAGACCATATAAAATGATATCGCAATTGTATATGCTTCGTCCTGGAATGAAAAGATGGATTCTTTGCTAGATGGATAGTACTTTGACTGTCGTAATACAAGACATTGTTTTCTTGTTTCTTGCCTAACTCTTCCAAGAAACTTTGGAGCCAAACCATCTCCTTGCTGGCTTTAGTAACAGCGACATATTCTGCTTCAGTTGTGGAGAGAGCAACTATCTTCTGTAGTTGAGAAACACAACTCACTGCAATACTTCTTAGAGTATAGATATACCCTGTAGTGCTTTTCCTGATGTCAACATTTCCGGCTAAGTCAGCATCTACATAGCCTTTCAATATCGTATCTCCACATTTGAAACAAAGTGCTTTGTTTGTGGTACCCCGCAGATATCTGAGGATCCATTTGACTGCTTCCCAGTGTACC